CATAAATGGCCTGTCCCTTCTCACATTGTGATGCCACACTGTTTGTACTGTGAGAGTTCTTGTACTCACTGGAGGATTGCGTCTTTTTGCTCTATATTCCTCAGCAATGCACCACTATATCCACCATGAGACTGATGATGTGTAGGTCTTAGCAGCTCTTTTCCTTAGATGAAACAAGATCAGCAAACCTGTTTTTCTTAAGCTCTCAACTCTCTTCAGATAAATCTTTAAAGCTCACCTTACATCCAACAAATGCAATACTTTCTCCTTTGGGCAAGGAGGAGGTGGACAAAAAGGAAGATAATCTCTTGTGCTCAACGAACAATCACATTCACTTGTGGAGTAAAGTTTTCCAAAACTACTTTATCACTGTGGAAGATGCAACAGAATGGATCACTTGAAAAAGTTCCCAACTCGGACACCCTTGTTGCCAAAGTGATAGTGACCCAAACGGTTGTTTTGATAGATACAGTGAAACCAATTTCATAGGTTCAAAAAACACCTATGGTAAGGCATTGAGCACAATTTTCAAATCCCAACTCAGAGCTGTATGCACCTTAGAGGATGCAATAGCTGAACTGCTCCAATTAAGTGACAAAATGTCTGTATGATAGGTACAGGAAGACTTTCTCGATACACTCAAAATTGCTGACAGTGCAGAAACGTGCACTTTCAAGATATTAGCCCGCAACCTGAGATCAGAACCATCTTGTAAAAATTCCACAACATAAAACACTTTGGCTACATGATGCTGAATATGTCTCACTCTGCACCAAGCTTTGAACTTAGACCAAATCCTTTGCCAACACAATTCAGACAAGACAGAAAAGTAACCCCTTTGTTTCAAAAATTTATTTTCAAATGCCAGACCGCTAGATGTAATTTACTTGGATCTTGATGAAGAACTGGTCCCTGGGATAACACACCTGGCCCCAGATTCAGGAAAAATGGTGGCTACACTGACATGTTCATCAGGTTGGGAAACGAAGGCCGCCTGGGCCAATAGGGAGCCACTAAGATCACTTCTGCTTCCTCCTTCCTGATTTTCTGTATTGCTGTGGTGATGATGGGCACTGGGGGAAAAGCATAAAGTAATCCCTTTTAGCATTTGAGCAGCCAGGTATCTATGCTTAGGGCTTCTGGCTTTCTCCTCCTTGAAAAGTACTGGAGAGCTTTTTAGTTTGCCTTGGATACAAACAGATCCAGAATCAGAATTTGGAAAATGTCAGTAATCAATCAGAAGACTTCACTGTGAAGACTCCATTCTTCCTGCCTGATAGTCCTTCCATTCAGCCAATCGTCTTTGTATTGCTAATGCCCTGATAATAGCGGACCCTGATAATAGCGGAGAGTCCGCTCACTGTATCAATAATGCTGCTTCCTTCTGTAGATCCCTTCATCTCAAACCCCCTGATGGTTTACGTATGCCACCACTGATTTACTGTCCCTCACTATAAGGTTATGATCTTTCAGCAATGCAGGGCCCAGCTGTTGAAGAGCATGCTTTATTGCCCTCAATACTCAAAATGTTAATGCTTTTTCTTTTGCTGCAAGAAACATCATGTCCGTTGAGTCACTGACTTCTTGAAGAATGCTCCCAAATCCTTCCAGATTCATGTCTGTTGTTACGACATATCTCTCTCTGCCATGTCAATCCCTACCTGCAACCTCTCCACACTCATCCACCAATTCATGGATTTCAAGTGATGGAATGTTCACTTTCCAGGATGGGGAGGGGGGGGAAAGAAATCAGAAAATGGCAGGGAAGGGGCAGCAGGAAGCCCTGGAAAATCCTCATGTGCATTCTTGCCCAAGGCATTATTCCTATGCAGGACACAATCATCCCTAGAACACTCAAAGTGCTTACGGATATCCTCAAGAGCAGTCACTGATCTGATCATCAGACCTCTCCTCATTGCAGTCAGGCATTGTTTCTAGTGTTGAAATTTGCATTGTGGGAAGACTGGTCTCTTCACTTTCTGGATTTAGACTTGTTCCATCTGCTTTTGCTGTAGCCAGAAAAGGATACTTAGGCCTGTAAGGCAGCCAGCTATTCCTTTTCCCAGATTTGGAATTAGAAATGTTCTGTAAGGACTGATTTGCTTTATCTGAGGACTTCACCACCACTTGATCAAATGGCTGCCCAAATAATTGACCTGAAATATTTAGAAGCCACTAACATGATTTGGCCTGTCATTGGATCCCTTAGTCAGCCAAGCAGTGCTAAAATAATTGCCAGATGGCACAGCCCTTTTTCCTCAAAGGGATTCCTTAATGAGGCAAGCAGTGCTACAGAAAAGCCACATGACATAGACATGTTGTCTCACTGAATCCAAAGGTGAGCAAGCAGATTTCCTTAAAGGCTGACTCACACCTGTTAAAGCAGGCAGAATAAATTAGTCAGAAATAAGTGGTTGGCCAAGTGGCCCCTTCACAGCTATTTATTTCTGCATGTCTGGTCTGCTCTCCTTCTCAACAAGTTGTATGAGGCATGATCAAAAGCACTGATCTGGGTTCCATTTTGCCTGGCAGGCGTGTCATGGCCAACTGCAGCATAAGAAGGGTCTGGTTAGCCCAGACATTTTTGCACCCTTTCCAACTTCATAGGCAATCAGAGGAATAGAGAAGTGTTCCATCACAGAGGCCTCCCCAAATATGTTACACTGGAAGCTGCTGTAGCTGGCAACCTTGGATCAGAAGGGATTTTCTGCTATAGAGCTTCCCCAAGACTAAATAACAGTACAGTAGTGCATAGAATCCTTTTTGGTTATTCTGTTTTATTTTCTTCTTGCTCTGAGCAGGTCGTCTGGGAAAGTCATCCTGCAGCCAACAGAGGGGATGTGGGGATTGGGAACCTGAGTCAGATAAGGGGTCTTGCAAACTTCTCTACTAACAGGCATCTTTTTAATCCTGCCCTTTTGAGAGCAGACAGAATATCTGTCAGGGAACATGGTAGCTGCTGCCTGAGGCTCACAAGATGGTGGCCTCTGATGGGAAGATGCAACAAATTAAGGAGCTCCTTAGCCCAAGAGGGGATGTCTTCCTTAGGGGCAGATTCACTTTTTCTCCCTTTGGGCTAAGAGATCGAGACCTGGCTGCTCTGATTATGGTTTCCCCAAGCCGGGCTGCTGTCCTTTGATGCAACCACCTCTGGTGGTCCTATGGCTCTTTTCATTTTCCTCTATCCTTCAATGCAGCTGTGGCCAGGCTGCTGGTGGAGAACTCCTACAGAACAGGCTCTTAGGTCAGAGAAGGGAGTCAAAGCGAACCCCTCCTGGTCCCAGCCGATGAGAAGGATGGAGTGCACAAAGCACAAACCTCTACTTTTACATGCTCTGGAAGGGGTACAGAGCAAGAGGAACACTGCCTTAATCCACTCTTCTTTGGGCCCTTCTCCGCCATCCTCCTAGCCTATTACCTGAGCACTGGGGGCAGAAAGGGGGAGGTTGCTGTCATAACTCCAAAGAGGAGACAAAGTGCCTCTTCAAGCCCCCCCCACCCTTTTTTTAGGGAATCCAATATGTCCAAATTAGACCAAATGCTATCCAAATGACTTATTAACAAAAGTTCTCTCTCACACATTAGATGCTGGATTTTACCGCTCTGCCAGTAGCTACAGGAGGCAGAATAAAACTGATGGGATCTTCTGAAGGTGGGGGCTACTCCCTCATCAGCCCTCCAGTCAGATCTGATTCTGCCCCCTAAATACAGGCAGATGACAACTCACACTGAGGATCTGTGGAACTACCTCAGAGAGAATTAATGTTTGCAATGCACTTGAAATAAGTGAAGTGCCATTTAAATCAGTCTTGCAAAATTCTACTTGCCCATTCTTTTGGGGAAAGTAATTTGTTTGGAGTAAATATTTTTTTCTTTACCAATCATTATGGTACAGAGCGGACACGTAGATTTTTGTACTTGAGCTGGTATATTCTTAACAATTCTGCAGTGATAATGATGCAAGCGCTGAGTATCAGTATCCTTTTGTGAACTGAATTGTGTTTAAAAGGGAGTGAGGGGCGGGAACACAGAGTAACTCAATTGAATGTACAACACCACGTTCCATGGAGAAAACAGGTTTAATTATCAAGCTCCAATATTGATCTGACCTCTCCACTCATTGTCTCAGTCACTCTTGACTTGATTTTTACCAAACACTGTGGTTTCCAATCACCACTTTGGCTCTTCTTCACCAATACCCAGTTGCCTCCCACCCTTGTCTTGTCATTTGTTCTGCATTAGATTTGATGATCCTCCCATACAAGACCCTTTATAATATTGCCCCTACTGATATCTTTGCTCTCACGTGCCCCCTTCATGTGCCTTCTGCCCCATCACGGTCCATGAGGCAGCTGGCTCCAGTGATCAGAGGCTGCCTAGGACTCAGAAGATTTGGTTTCTAATCCCGACTCTGCCACTGGCCTGCTGTGTCACCATAGACAGGTCACTTCACCTCTCTGTGCCTTTGCTTCCCCATCTGTAAACTGGGCAGGATTTTTCCCTTTTCCTTTGTAAAGTGCTTTGGAGTCTATGCAAGAAGAGTGCTATATATGAGCTAAGTATTATCTTGTATGGCTCCCATCATTATAGTCCTCACAAGTTTTTCACCTTGCTTCCCCCTTTCTCGCCTCCACCGACACTATGATGCTGTCCCCTACAAATGCTACAGTCTCCCTGTTCCTATCCACCAAGTGCTCTCTGTCAGATGCTAGGAAACATGTGGCTCTGACCCATCTGCAAGGGATAAGATTTAAAACCCCTCATATTTTCAACTGCAATGGAAAAGCTACTTAGGTTAATCATTGGTGTTTATTTGGGACAGCTCTGACATAGTCAAAGCCTACTCTCCATCATCACGCACAATATAAATGATCATTTACACAACTGTGAGCAGGAGATTCTGAGGGCCAAATTCATTCCCAGCAATGGAATCGTCAGTAGTGCCTGTTTACATCAGTTCTGAATTTGGCCCTGAGGTTTTGTGCATTCTGAGAGCTTACCTCTTTTGAATTTGTAATGGCTGAAGATCCCCAATAGGTAACCCCTCTGGAGTGAAATATTTCAGTAGCTCTTTAGCATCCAGCAATGTCAGAGATTCCCTCTGACCATCTTTATGGCCCAGTAATTGCTCAGAGGAATGCGCCAACATAGAAACTCTGGAGAAAAAAAAACCAAACAATAAAGTAAATCTGTCCTGCCAAGAGGCACTGTTAGTTTGGAGCAATTAAAAATGGTTTATCTCCAGTGTAACACTACTGGAATTAGCATTTCAAAATATTTATTGAAAACCTCATAATAAAATGGTTTCAATGCCAAGGCTCTACCAGTCTTCCCAATATAAATTATCAACAAGATTTTACAGTTTAGTTGAGAAATTTAACACTGGGATGGAAAGCAGACATTCAGATTCTCCAGCCTGTGAGCAAATTTTATATATTTGAAGATTAATTTAATTCTCATGAAAGAGAGATTTATAGCATAGTTAAAGGTAAGAACTAAAAGGAAAGTATTGTACAACCCGCCCCTCATAATTCTTTCAATGCACCTAATTCAAGGACAGCAAACTGTCTCCTCTTCTAATACTGAGAACCTTTGCCATACTACTTTAGGAAGAGTAAAATTCACCAATGGGAAATAGGATAAAATAAATGTATTTCATCTAGGACTTAGAGCGACATTCACTGAATCTAAGAGATGGAAAGGTCCTTGAGATACCTGTCAAAAGCTATGATTAGCAGAAAGATAATCTTATCTGTTTTGAGAGGCAAGGACAGCGTTTTGAAAAAGGCACAAGAAAGCATAGATCTAAGCCGAGGCTGCAAGTGAGACATTCCTCCCAACACCCTGATGTAGGCCAGGCCACCCTGGGACTTTGTAAATTGAAAGAAAAAAGCAACCCATGATAATTCAAATTGATTGTACGCTTATCCAGTAAAATGTTAAAGATCCACAATAGAACAAAGACCTAGAAAAAGCAATTGGGAGTTAGGGTGAAATGAAACAAATTATAAGAATGAGTTAAATACCTAATTACATGAGGCCGTAAAAGACCCAAAGGAGCAGCATTTGAACCCAAGTCTAAATAATGAACATTTTTCAAACCTCCATTAATTCTCTTATGCTTTTAAAATGTTATGATCCTGGCTCTAAATGAAGCAACACAAAAAGATTAATGGTGCGTCTATATTGGGATATAGTGGCAAAAACTGCTCCACTGTGTTTACATTACAACTTGTGCCACTGGGTGCGCAAATTTGACGCCATTATGCACCAGTTCCTAGTGTGGATATGACCTTTATCTTTTACCCACCCAATGGTGCCTAGTGGAACTTCACAAACTTAGAACTGTGCTCTATCAAAAGGCTACATAACAACACCCACTCATAAATACTGAAACACCTCTGCAATACCTTTTCAAAATGGCAGTGGATCAGGGACCCAGTTTCAACCTTACATAAATTTCCCTCCTCTCCTCAGTTCTGCAGGACCCTTAAACATATTTTATGAGATTTACAAAACCTCTGTCAGCATTCACAGATCTTGTAGAATGATCTTTAATGTCATCTGTTTAAAAAATACACAGTATTTACCATTACCTCATTTTTTGTTTAATTTTTTCAAAATTTTCCAAGTTCTGAAGAACATTTCTTTCTGGCCACTCCAAAGGATTGGGCCCTATTAATTCAGATTCTGAGAGAAAAAAAACAGAGTTAGATTAATACCAAAGCTATTACTGTCAGCTGACACTTAATAAATCGGATGCCATTTATCTTCAATCAAAAGAGCCGGGTTTATTAGTACTAACAGGAGGATACTCAAACTGTGGCTCTAGAGCCTCTTGGCAAGTCTTTAAGGCACCAAGAGAGGCTGTCATAGAATACATGGCTCTAACTGAACATCCATATGCTCTGCTTTGTGGAGGGAAATACAGAGCCATTCACAGTAGCACACTCCACATTGCCAGGCACATCTAGGGCAGCATGAAGAGTACTGAGGAAATGTACCAGGTCATGAAGATTCTTCCTAGTGGTCAAGAAAGGAAGAAAGAGAGAGCACACAGTAATAAATTGAGTCCCCAAATAATCCTGGGGACTCAATCCTGAGACTGATATTTTCATCATCATGTTGTAGCAATACACATTGTGTTGTAACGAGGAAAGGTTATGGTGCAGACATGGTAATACAGTGTTCAGATAGCACATGACAATCACACTGGAGTTATCTGTGACTCCACTGAATTATATCATATTAAAATTTATGTGGAGCAAAGACAGAACAATTTTGTAATGTCTACAAAGAAGATATTACCTAAATATATGATGCTGGCAACACTACTCGATAAATAATTCAAAAAGGGAACATCTTGTTCAGTTTTATACTGACTAGGAAATCCTGCACATTTGTGTGTGGTGTGTTTAGTGGTTGCTTCTAGAGAAGTCTCCACACATACAAAAAAATTTCACAGTCCCTATCTGCATGTGTTAAAATCATCACTCAAGAAGATGATGTACTGTATTCAGCATATTACTGCTGTGGGTCTAAATCATTGCTGCTTGCAAACAATTTTCTGAGTGAAGAGATATGTGTTTGGTATGCCACAGATAAATAGCAGCTGTGAACCTGGAAAGGCTTTTTATTAAAGTTGTGATACGATATGGTAAGTGCTGGGTCTTCTGTAGAATAATCTTGCTATTCTAGTACTATGCCCACTAATCCCAGATGTATGCACTTATTCTTCCATGTGAATTAAACAGATGAATTAATGGGGTAAAAATATAAAAAAGGCTAGTTGGATAGAATACCACCATAGTTCTTCAATGAAAGTGCAAAAAAACAAAAAAAAACAAAGGTGATATAAAAAAAACTGTACTACTTCTCACACATGAACAGTTTTGTAGTGAAGTTGGACAAAAACATCTTAAGAACATGATAAGATGCACATTCATTCAATAAAGAGCTTTCAATATCATACAGAAATCATAGTATCATTGTCAGCAATACCCAAAAAGATGTAAATAGTCCAGTGGTGAGAATAATTGTTATATGAATGTACAATAAATATTATGGATTTCCCACTTTCCTCTCTTTCTGGATTAATTCCTTTAACATTCATTTTAATGTAACTGCAATATGTGAATAAGAAGTCTTGTTTGCAGATACTTTTCCAAAAAACAAAACAATCGCAATAAAATAGTGGTGAATTTTCTAATACAGATGCCTACCACTAGTCATTGTGTAGGGGCTAGTTTTGTTGATTGCTTTGTGCAGAATAGTTTTTGGAAGGCTGGTGTCATACAACTCTAAAAAACGTTCCCTAGTAAGTGTTAACAGGGTTTTGAGCTCATCAGCAGAAACTGTTGAAGGTTGCTTGCCTGATTCCCGCCTCTCTGCAAAACAATAAGAAAAAGGGGAAAAAATTACTGTTCAAGCTGCTAAGCAATTAGGAAAGATTGGACCCTGGTTGGGAGAGAATTTAGTTGACAAGACATGCAATACTGTATACTTTAGGGACGTGTTACTAGTTTATTCCATTAGCACATGTGGAACATTGGGAAGGCTGAAGTTCAGAGATCATTTTCACAAGTGCTTTTTATGACTAAAGTTACCTTCAGTCTATTGACATCCTGTTAACTGCAAACCATTTACATTATGATCGGGCTATTAAAACTGCAGTCTCTCCAAAGTACGTTTTCATTTAATTAAATCTGCTCGATCAATGAAACTAGATTAAATATCAAGGGACAAACAAAATGTTCCTTACTCACCCAAAGTTGAGGCACTTAAAGAGAAAAACCTTTCAGTCCGGTTTACAATGATACACCCACTTACAATAAACATGAATCTCTAATAGACGTTCAACCTCCACCATTAAAAAATAAAAGAGAGAGAGAGAGAAAGAAACACTACTGGAGATTAACAGAAAGAACTACAAAGTAGCGGAGTACTAAATCCCCACAATAGTCTCTTTCTGAAATCATCTTTTCAGCAATAAAACCTGGTTGCTCTCCACAACATATTTATGAAACATAGACTCAAACACCAAAATAAAAATCAGCGCTCTTTCATCTCTATGGTTTAAAAAAAACAGAGCAACAAGTCATCACAGATGTATTACTAATTGTTTCCTAACTGCAAACAATATTAAATGTTTCTATTCCTTCTTCATAGACTATCTTCCCGGGACTTTATATATTAAACAGTCACATTAAAAATTCAAAATGAAGATATATTTGTTGAATACCGATTTGAGATCCAGTGGTGATTTAATCCGATATTCTCTCCATTACTTACCGAGACATTCCTTCAAGGCCAATGCTTGGACATAAGCCAGTTTCTTTTCTCTCTGTAGTATCTGCTCTCCATAGAAATGTGGAAGAGAACTGATGAAGTCAGCAGTACAAAAGCCTGTATGGATTATGAGAAAGCCATTCTTAGGTATGTCTCATATGACTTAGGAAATCACCAGCTCATGTTTATTTCTTAAAGGAGCTATCCTTGTGTATGACGCAAGTACACACGCATTACTATATATTTCATATTAAGAAAGCCATAGCTAAAATTTAGTATTTGGCTGAATCCTTTAAAGCAAGGAAATTAAAAGCGAAGGCTGAAAATCCACCTAGAAGTCACCTTATTGTGCACAACTACCAAGGAGGTCTCCACATGCTTGGCAATCTTTTTCCATATTACACGCTGTAATAAATAAGCATGATTTGGATGAAATATCTGCCTAATCCTTAGCTTTGAATTTCCATGCTGTTATGCATTAAAGTCAGACTTTGAATGTTGATATGTTATTGCAGTTAATATAATTAACATGCGTAGGAGGTAAACAGACTACTGCATTTGATGTTTGAACATAACCCATTGTTTCCAATTTCTATAACATATTGGGAAGGACTTTAGGGTTTTCCCCCCACCACCTTTTTCATCTGACTAAGATAAACTATTATGATCAGGCAGTCAATTCTATTCCGTTTCCATTTCCTCCAATTACAAGGGAACAGACTTCCTCTATCTGAATGTCATCTAAGTCAGCCTTGCAAAATTGTCCATTTGCCTAGGGAAAATAAAAAAATTTCATCTCAAGGGTAAGCAACTAGAATTTCGGCTGGGTTGGTCAATTTTCATGACAATTTTGCAAGTCTGATTTAAGTATTCATTTTAACTGGAGTTGTACAATAAAGCACTCTCTTTGCTCCATGTGGCAATGAAGGTATCACAAATGATGGGCTATGCATCTCTCATAGAATATATTGAAATCACATACATTTTAACTTGAACTTAAAGATTTAGTTTAAAGTTATTAGTTCTTCTGACCTTTTCCATCAATGTTAAATAATTTTTACAAGTATATTGCTGAAACAAAAATATATGTTATCAAATGTAACTATTCCCCTTAGTTTTCCCCACCTTATTACTGTAAATAAACTGCATATATTGTCAGTCACCTCCACCAAGCCCCCAGAAACCCTTAAAAAACAGAGTTTAAGTCTTACTTGACTGTGTTTCTTCTGTGCTTGTCTGTAGCTTTCCATTTATTAAAGCAAGAGTGGCTGTGCCATTGATCTGATTGGCTGAATGAATCAAAGTTGCTTTACACCCTCCAAAGGCATTGCTTTGTACCAAGAAATAATATTGGCAGGACTCTCCTTTTAGCTCAATTTCTGGAACTAAGCAAATACCAACAGATAATCATGAACCATTCTGAGAAAAAAAAGCCTTTAAAATAAGCATAATATTTTCTAGACTCTAACATGGTGTCACTTGCACGGCCTCTAGCCTTGACAGCTGAGATTGAATCAGATCACATTAGCCAGCAGAATCAAATGTGCTCAGTATTTTGATGGGAGACTTCTAAAATATTCTAAATGCATCAGGTGCAAATACCAAATCCAGATATGCCACTGATTCTTTCACATTAATTTCCAACCTGTATCCTAGTATGATGCCTATGGACAAGAGATAAATATGAGGTATTGACCACTTTTGGTCATTAAAAATCCTAGGCACTTTTTACAATATTAGCAAGGTTAATTCTGGTATCCTTGACAACATCTAATTGGGTTATCATATTGTGCCTGACACATCATTTTAATTTCAACAGGATAAGGGTGGGTTTGGTTTTTTTACTTTCTGTCTTGAACTACTGGATAACATAGTTGTGTGTTATTTAAATGCTGCTGCCGCCATGTACGAGACAATGTCTGCATGTAGTTGATAATTAACTTTGTAAAGTACATTTGAGATCTTTGGATGAGAGGTGCTCCATAAAATTTCAGTTATTATTAAATGAGAAGATAAATACCTTAAATCTTACCTTGTTATGAGTCAGAAAAGTTACAGTTCTATCCTAAAACAGGAGCAAAACTGTATGCTTAGTCTGCTACATTTGTAAAGATGGTGGTGGTGGATGGAATCTTTGCTAGTGGGAAACCCTTCTTTGAACATTTGGATTGAAACAATCCTAATTTTTTAGAAATGTGTTGTGAAGTGTTAGGCACCTCACTACTCCTCCTCCCTCAGCCCCCCAAAAAGTGAGAAAATAGGATTATTCATTAACTATGTACATTTCTGTAAATGCTTTTTATTATGAGGCAGATACTACTCACAAAGCAGGTATTTATCCTAATAGATTAAAAAATTTAAACTCTTTATTAAACATATAAGGATAGCAAGAAACGTCTGCTGTGAAGCATATGAAAAATACTCCATTCTATTAACAAAAGCATGGATCATATGGATTGTACTAGAATAAAATCTATCACTGTGAACTTGACAGTAATAACTTTGAAGAAACTATTTTTTCAGGTTTTATACAAACTATTAAATTGACAGATGTCTGCTAACACAAGAAGCTCAGAGACTGAGCACTTCAGAATACTGTATTAAGCTTCAAAGATCAAATCACTTAATACCACCTTCAAGCTTTGTTATCCCTCTTGTATTGAGGCATTTATAACACTGTCTCAAAAAATAATATTTTAGACAGATTTAAGCAGTGAAAGTTCAACAAATCTGTGTTAATATTGTATAAAATATTCTAATGTTTTCTAGAACAGTTTTAATTTAAATTAGGGAGAAAAATCAAATTGGTATCTATAGCTGCACAAGGATTAAATTCAAGACATCCATTCATCCATGTATTCTCTTTATGTCCACCCCCCAGTATTCTCTTCATCTCAGACACTTATTCTCATTTTGAGATGTCAAGAAAAGGTGTTTTCACGTCTTCTTTTATATTTTAATCTTGATGAAGCATTGTACCTCTCTCACATAATTAAGAGATTGTGGACCAGCACCTATTCAATTTACTCAAAACAGGCTAGCCACAGGCTTTGGAGAAAGTGGTATACAATGTACTTCTACTTGAGCTGGGAGATTAGGAATACTAGCCTTCAATATGAGAATGTTCTTCTGTGCTCATGTGGTTTCACCTGTGCTGTCACTTCAATCAATGAAAATCCAATGGCTAATCTTCTCTATAATCACATCACATCTGCCCTTCCTCCCCTTCCCACCCAGCCCAGCCCTCGTTTCACAGCATTAAGCTTCCTGCCCTCGCTTTCAAGGCCCTTCACAATCCTGCTCCTCTCTCCCTGTCATTTATCCCCATATATCCTCCTCTTTGCCAATGACAACAAATGGGCAGATGTGGCTGCTTCTCATGCAAATGTCACCTTGCCTATTCCATGCTTGCCCCACATAGATGGATGTCTTCCGTTAACAGATTTGTAACGCCACTAGCCTTTCCTCCTTCAATCTCTTCCTCAAGATACACCTCTGACATAACAGGCAGAGGCCAGATGAGCATAGTTGACACTTCATTTATCATATATTTTGAGGACTACAACTGCATATGCATACTGAATTATCTGATTATATGCCTCTTCCCATAAACCTATGTCACTTGTCTTCTTAGGCTATAAACTCTTCAGGAAAGAGACCATGTTTACAATGTATAGCACAATGGAGAGAGTGAACTGGAAAGAGCCCATGATAATCTAATTATAAATTTGTACAGAGTATGGTCAAAATCTTGGGGCATAAGTAACTTGTTCAGTTATACTGACCAATGATCCCTGACAACTTCTGCAGCTATCATCATTGTTGGCTAACTAGAGTGTATCATATCACTGTTAACATAAACCAATGGCCTTGAATTAGTTTGTAAAATGAAAAGGAGTACTTGTGGCACCTTAGAGACTAACCAATTTATTTGAGCATGAGCTTTCGTGAGCTACAGCTCACTTCATCCTCAAATAAATTGGTTAGTCTCTAAGGTGCCACAAGTACTCCTTTTCTTTTTGCGAATACAGACTAACACGGCTGTTACTCTGAAACCTGTCAATTTGTAAAATGAGGCTTTCATCTTTTTAAAATAAAAAGGAAAGGAGAGACATCAGATTCAGCTGAGGATCCAGCTCTTAAAGACTAGCACACAACGGTACCTTTAAGCCACATTTACATTCCCCTGATCCCAGGGCTGGCTGGACCCACCACAAAACTTGCACAGGTTATTTTTAATTTTTCTCTGCTCTGAATATTGCACAGTTGAATTTATAATAGCTAAGGCCTTTTGTATGTTATGGAGATTCTGTCACTGTTGCTAGCCCCAGTGCAGCTCCATTTCGAAGTAATGCAACTATTCTATATTCATGCTAATAAAAACTTTATACTTAGGCTTGAAAGGATTAGATTTTTATTGGTAAATGCCATTTTTACCACACAGACAAAACACTATTTCAATCAATAACAATCAAAATTTACAGATAGGCAAAGAAAGAAAAATGCTGCTTGAGAACTTGGAGTTTAATTTAAGAATATTTACTTTGTATATTTTGATATGCAATGTTGACAATTTGTGTTTTAATGGTTATAAAGCTATAATTTTTTGAATCTCAATATCTACTGTCATTAAGAATTATTGTCTGACCTCCTCAGCAATTTCCTGGAACTATAAAAATTTAAATCAACAAAAAACAGAAAAAAATGCTTAAAAACAAACATTGATATTATCTGTTGAAATAATAACAAAATAAAAATCAAATTCTGCCAAGCCTACTTATATTATATACTCCTGATGCACACATAAACACAACACCCCTACACATATATTACTTACTGGTTATGTCCTTTGGTTTTTTGGCCATATATTCCTTCCATTTTTTTGTACTCAGCTGGCTAGGAGATGGAATCAACATGTTGCTTACATTGCAAGGCAAAACAAATAAGGCTCCTACCTGTAGAAAGAGCAAATACAGTGCTCTCAATATGACTCCTATAGTCATAGAGTTCAAAGCCAGGAAGGACCTCTAGAATATCTAGGCTGACCTCTTTGAACATCACGGGCCGCCACCACCCCGCACACATTAAGCCCAACAATGGAAATGAGACCAAAGTAAATGAGACCCACAGGCAGAGAATAGAGGGCACTGAGGTAAACCAATCTTGATGCCCCCAAAATGGCAGGGATATGATTATGTGAGATATACCTAGATAAACCTGGCAAGTGACTCGCACCCACATGCTACAGAGGAAGGCAAAAAAACCCCAAGGTCACGGCCAATCTGACCCGGGGGAAAATTCCTTCCCAACTCCAGCTCTGGCAATCAGTTAGACCCTGAGCAAGAGAGCAAGAACTGGCCAGCCAAGCACCTGAGAGGGGGAATGCTCAAATGTTCAGCAACACCTCAAAGCCCTGGCCCATCTCGTCCAGTGTACCATCTCCAGCTGTGATCATCCCTGATGCTTCAGAGGAAGGAGATTTAAAAAACTGTCCCAAAATACACGGGGGAGAGTGGAAGGGGATGGATTCCCTCCTAATCCATGCTGGTGACTGGCTGAAACCGTGTAGCATGAGCTGATTAGAGTATACCTGCTCAAGGTTTCCTCTTCTTTAGCTATTGGTTAGAGGCTCATTAAAGTACATTTCTATTAAAGACACTCCTTCCTTCTTTTGTTCACTGTCAAACAGGGCTTGTCTCTATTGGTATCATGCTGAGTTGAGTTAAGCAGAAGCAACATTCCCAACTGTGAAAAGTTAGCTTTTTAAAATCAAGGGAAAGTTAAGAAATGGAGTATTGCTGGATTCACATATACTGTATTTTCTGTTTCATACCTGATACAGAGATTTAATTCACATTATAATTGCAAATCTCAACTCAACCTAAATCCGGTAAGGCTAACAATATCTCCATATAATAAAATCTGAAATTAATTGTGTACTCCAATAAATAGCCACAGTGGGCTACTCTCCATTCTCAAGAGAGGACGTATCTTTTTTATATTTTCTGTTTTCCAATAAATTCAGAAATTGGATGTTGCTTCTGCCAATATTTCTCTCTCAGGACAATAAATATTAGTAATAAGGAGAATGACAGAAGTAACTATGTTTATTTACTTGAGCATTCAGGCTGTGGAATCAGGAAAAATACATTTTTCAGCAAGTTTCTGATGTACTTCTTTAAAATATGCATTGTACTGTATTTAATAGACTGCATATAAAACTTTTAGAACATTTTCAATCTATTAGTACAGATAATTACACACAATTGTCAGAGCATCTCTAGTTTATCATAATAAGTATGCATAAAATGTTCTAAAAGCTTTTTTTAAATGATGAAGAAAAACTAAAGTTACTATACATAATTGACATGTCTGCTAAATACCATTTTTACACATCATAATTATCTGAGTTATACCAATGCCCAAAAACCTTGTGGTTTGTTTGTTTTTTGGAACAGGTATATTTTTAAAACAACTAAGCTGTTTAGTCATAGAAAATGAAGAAGGGGTTTGAGGAAAATACATTCCTTAGCAGAAATCCTAAATATCAAGCTGAACACCAGAGCCAGTTTTCAACACCTACACTGTACACACTTAAAAATATGGCTTTATAATGGAACCACAACTCCACACTGTAACATGAGTAACTTGCTATAATTATATCAATTTGCCCACAGCAGCCAATGTTCTGATTACTGTAGATTACTTTTAAAAACATCAGAAACACTGTGTAAACATACCTACATTGCCTTAAAAATTCAGGCAAACAGCATTTTCAAATGAACATTACTGCATAATTATTCATAGGTATGGTACCAAGAATAAGCAAGAACTATTGTATCTGAACAAAGAGTTAAAAAGCACTGTCCTACGAAAACTATAGAATGTTCTCAGTTTTTCAAAATATATCGGCTTTTCTTGCCATCACGATCTGCAAAATATAAAAATGTCTCCATCAGCCTAGGACTGCAAAATAAATGATGCACTATGCCTTCTTGTTTTCTGCATTAGAGACATAAGAGGTAAGATAATACAGTGGCTTGTCCAACAGCATTTAGAATGCACTGTTGAGGAAATTTCTAACCACCAACATTCAACATGAGAAATGGAGGGATAAGGCTATCACCAGTTTTTATTCCTATTCCCCTAGGAGGCAAGAATGTCCAACACTACGAGGAAATCAGTGACTTTGGGCAGGTCTACACTAGAAGCGCTATATCAGCTTGTATGAACTGTGCTCCACATATAGGTAACTAGTGAAATGTAATGGCCTGTGACGTAAAGGAGGTCAGAATAGGTGAACTAATGGTCCCTTGTGGCCTTAAAACCTATGAATATGGCAAATACACTGAAGATATAGCTGGCCCAACAGTATAGCATCTATGCAACGTACTGCCCTGCAGAACATAAAAAATTACTCAGAGTACTCTGCTGTTTGTGTTTATGAAGGTCGGCAGGGGAAAGGAAGGGGGGGCTCTTGTTGTAAAGGGGCTTAAAAAAGATTTGTGGGAACAGAAAATAACCAAAGAGGGTGGGGTCAGTAATTTTTGTTAAAGGGTTAAACTGAATTATGAAAATGAGCAGACAAGACAGCTATGGGAGTGAGGATGAGTGGGATTCAGAGTGAGTATCAAGATGTGCTATGAGGTCAAAACTTAGCTGAAGTTCACAATTTAATGGGCATCGGAGTTCTGTTCTTGGAAACTATAAAGCACAGACATCTTTAAAAAAAAAAAAAAAAAAAAAAAGGCAGATTTTGGCCCTAGAAGAAAATTTTGGAGGAGGCTCCATGGAGATCAGGTGTTAAATTAAAAGTACACAGAAATAGATTATGCACAAATAATTTGGAAAAAAAATTGCTGCAAAGTTGATAAAAAAAATATACCTTTTCACAGAGAGAAGAAATCTGGTCCAAAAGCAGTGTAGACTTTTCATTGATACTGTTTCTGGCCAAGTTCCTGTATAGAAAAGTTTAAGGAGCCATATCTTCAAATGGTTTTACTGGTTGCTGTTTTATAAATCAATTTATTATCATATTTTACGCGAAGAAACATTTTAATCCACCTAAATACAAACTAAACCACCACCGTCCTCATTACTGTCAAAGCATTAGAATGAATAAATTCTCTTTATCAGACGGGGTAATATACTAACTCAGGCATTTTGTAAATATATGTTATGATATACAGCATATTTATTGAAAGCTGCCAAGTAACCGTGTAGGAGCAATTTTTTTATATACTTTATTGAATCTCTAACCATTATGATAGTTAATTATTTTTATATATATCAAGATTTTAATCAGCTGGTATCAAATGTTACTGCTGAAGCCTGAATTTCTGGTAACTTCTACAGAGCAACAGATATATTGTCATAATTGAGGCACTCCAGGCACCAGCAGCACTCATATCACCTGGATGGTGAGTTGCCTTCTTGTGTTTCTTTCTTTAATTTTTTGTTGTTGTTCTGTCGAACAAAATCTGAGATCCATCTTTCACTCTGCACTCAACCACCAAAATAGCAGGTGATAGTTTTGAGATAATCATTTAGGATCCAATCCTTTGAGGTGCTGACAGACCTTTACTCCTGGGGTCTTAAAGAAAAGTGGTTAAACTGTATAATAATATATCCCGCAGACCTCGATAAGAGATTAGATTTGTATTTTTATGTTCTTCCTTTCTGGTGTGCTCAACATACGTGAGTGAATGGTTCGTTCCTGGTGGGTCCTTCAGAGAAAGCTGTTCATTATAACGAATGGGTTCAGTTTAAGATGGGTATTTGTGTTCTGACTACAGTCATATTTGTACTTTCTTGGGGGCTTTAATGAGAGGCCCAATTATATTTCTTCTTGCATTCTCTTCCTCTTCCTCAATTTCTCTGTTTTTAAGTTTACTGATTTCACGGTACATGGAATATCCTTCTGTAGGATAAAAACATCACCTCTTAGTTCTGAAAGGCATTTGATTGGCAGCTTTAGAAACAGACTGACAGTATCAACTGCAGAAAGTGCTGGTCTGGATATTTTAACTTCTGTGCTAGAAGACAAAGGGCTCCTTAGCTATCCATTCCCTTTAATTTATACCAGTTTTGTGTAAATGTGTCTCTACACACTGAAATAAGCTATATACATTAAAACCACTTAAGGCTTTTCTTCACACAGAAAGCTCAACATTAGTGGAGTGTCACTATAACAAAATAGGAGCGCATAGCAAAATTTCCCCTTCTCCTCTTCATCCTACAAAAAGCAGCATGGCCCTCTTTGTTTCAACCTGTTAGGTAAACTACGCAAGCTAAGATTATTTGTTTAATTTTATCATGGCATTAGATCAAAGCGAGTGTGTTACTTCTAGTGCACTTTATACCTCCACTTACAAAACTAAGCATGACAAACTTCATATGGCTGTGAGCCTACTTCATTTTAGCAGGCTGTAAAGACTTGGCTTTTTGCCTACCTCTGATCAAGCTATTTGCCTATCACAAACTAATCCATGATCTTTTTCCTTTTATTATATGTAGGGATAATTACTACTATGGATGGAGGCTTCTCTATTAGGTAAATGTCTTTTAAATCATGTAAATATTCCTACGCACGATGCATATAGAGTATTATGGTCTATTAACCCAGAACATTAAAGGGTATGCCTACACTGCAAAAAAAGACCCGTGGCAGTAAGTCTCAGAGCTGGATCAACTGATTCGGGATCGTGCTACAGCGCCAAAAACAGATGTTCGGACTTGGACTAGAGTGCAGATTCTAGGATCCACTCCCTCTCACCAGGTTCCAGCCCAAGTCCAAACATCTACGCTGATATTTTTAGCCCCACAGCGCAAACCCAAGTCTGCTCATTGCCATAGTTACTTTTTGTTTGGGGTTTTATTTTGTTTTTTTCCGGTGCAGACATACCCTTAGAGCTACAATACTGCCTCCAGTTCACAGCAGAACTGCCACAGATGTCAGTTCCAATGTAACAGACAAATCTCTTTAAATTAATATACTTGTAATTCTGTATTCTGAAAAGTCTGGGAGTGGGAGGAATTTCTCACTTTTTTTATGTATAGTACAGTCTAAATGATATGGGACTACTTCAATAGACTGGTATGATCACTAATGCACTGAGGAGTACTTTAATTGACGGAGTATTAAAACATCCGGAGACAATATTAAACAGAGATAATTACCTAGCTTTGGAGAACTCAGTTTAAAAAAAGCGTCACAAGTGCTCAGACTAATTAGCACTATTCAGGTCTTGCTGATGGGGGAAACTAGATTCATACATCAGTGCCATTTTTTTTTCTGATTGGCCATATAACTTTAATATGTGTAATGAAGTCCCTCTTGCAATTAGCCAAGAAACACGCTTATTTTTAGAAGACGGTTTAAGAAAAATGGTCCAGATTTAGAATGAAAGATAAGAGGAATTCAGTATATTAAATTGAACACCAGAGCATTTTCTTTTAAAGCGATCAGCAATTAAATTTAAGAAAGAATAGAGACATTGGACAATAAATGGTTTGACTCTTGCAAAAATAAAATGAAGCAAGACAAGAAGCTCTTTTACCCTGAAGGGCCTCCCCTTAAATGACCAGCTGCCAATACAAGGTGAATTTAAATACTGTGCAGAATAAGATGGAGAATATATTGGTTTACATGCCTCATCTAGTCATTGCATTAAATATATTGCATCAATAGTGTCTTAAAAATAAGTAAAACACTTTCAAAGATGTATACATTTAACCTCTGACTACCCTGGTGTTATTTTAAGCCCTCTCTTTACAACTATAATAATTTAGTCCATGTTTTCCTTATTCTTGTTAGCACATGAGAATGCATTTAGTACTTAAGATTCCTTTCCCCCTCTAGTTATTGAATTACAAATATTAGGTGCACACCATGAGGGCTCCAAGGTTCAATAAGTAGTTCAAACTCATGCTCTAAAATATAGATTTGATCAGGAAAAGTTTATACATATTTTATGCTGTTTGTAAAAAAAATGTGTTAAACTAGCTGAAAGTTTTGTCTTTAAGGAAAGTGTTTCAGATATGAAGATATTCTGCATCTGCTTTAGCTTTAATTTTAACTCTGAATTTACTGAATCACTTGAATATAGTTTATTTTATCTGAAATCCTCCATATGGAGAAAACTTTTCATTAGACATTCCAGTTCTAATATCACCTATTTATAATTAGATCTTATTAAACATCCTCAGGAAATTGCAAATATGTTAAAACTTTCATGCACCCAGAGATACTTTTTTGAAAGTTTTTTTTTTTAAATCACAGATTTCTATAACAAGAGAAGTATTACTATGCTATAGAAAGGTAAACATTACCATAGTCTCACATCACATACTACACAGTACTTGATGTAATTGGTAATATAATCAGAAAAATAGTTTTATAATATTAATATGCATCTTTATTTTATTTCGTTTTATAGAAGCGCTAAAAGGTGCCTGTCTATATAATCTAGGCACCTTTGGCATAACTAAATATACATCATAAGTATAGCAAATTAAGGTAGCCCACCACAGCCCCCGTCCTCTTCCCCCACTTTGTAAACACCTGGGGGGAAAGAGGAGCTTTGAAACAAAAGGATACAGCTCAAATTCAAGATCTGATACAAAATAGGATGGCAGATCTGAGAGCACCACCAGCCGCATGAATTCTAACACAGGACCATAATAATGAAAAACCTGAAAAGAAATTAAATTCAGAATTTGTAACTTTTATATTTTAGATATTATTTCAGTGGGACTTAATCATTTGCTTTAAGTGCTTTGCTGAACTGGGTCCTTATTTAGAAACACATCTGAAGCAGGGAGGTGGGAGTGAGAAATAGAGGAAGGTTTTGCAATATAGTCAAATTAAAATATAATTAAACATCTTAAAAGGGCAAACTTATGAAATGTGCCTAAAACAATTCTTCCAATAGATTCCTTAGAATATACATATGAAATAATATGTGCAGGGCTGCTTCTGAGCCCATCTTCCCTCAGATACTACAAATACAAATCATCCAAGACCATACAATTAAGGACAAAATATATTTAGAAGCTTTAACTGTAAAAAACTATTAAAATTCATATATGTGGTTACATTAAAGGGGTTTCATATTAAGTAGTTTCCACCAATAAATGGATTTAGATTTTTAAACTTTAAAAAAGATGACCAATTTCCACTGGGTAAAAATGGTACAAGCAATTTTCAGAAAAAAGTGTTTAATAAAGTGTATTTGTACAAGTAAATAAATGAATATATGCTTCCAACATGCTACAGTAGTATTTAACATTAAATTTTTTGAAAGCTAAGAAATCAGAACCATTTTTCGTTTCTACTTTGGGAACGTAGTGTCACATTTTAGACATGTAATTAGATCAAATATTACAGATACTATCCAGACAAAAATATGAACAAGATAAGCCTTAAGAGCTGTACATTATAGAGTCAGTACTTTTATATTTGTTTTTGAATCCTGACTATCGCTTCCCTCATTATTAATTTCCTCAGGAAGGTAAAAAAAGTGAACTACTGTAGTTCAAAGAAAGATCAAACACAGGCCTTACCTCTGGCAAAATATTAGTAGTCTTTGATTGTGCTGTTTTCTTGGCAGCAAAGCAAGTATTTAAATGTGATGTGCTGAATGGTTTGGCCGAGACACCCTTTATGCAAAATTTTGGAAACCTAACTTCAAATCCAAACTAAAGAAAATAGATAGAATATTTTAAAAAGGCAGATACAAAGCCTGACATTAATGGGATGAATTAGGTTAGAAAAATGCTCATGTTCTTGCATATCAAGCATTTGGTGCAACTAGCGGATGAAGAATTAAATAAAGTTTACATAAAGTAAAGCATTATTTTAATAAACCCATTTTTCTTCAGTCAATTAAATACACAATTACTTTAAAAGGATATGGCCCAACAGATTTCAACAAACAACTAAGTACGAATAATATTAGGGTTGGATCACCAGGCAATGTACTCAAGATTAAGACATTGCAAACACAAGCAGAGTCTTCTACAGTTGAATGGTTGCTGCTTTTGTGCTAGATGTGGGTTTTCATCCGAGTACTACAAAATAGCACAGAAAGAGGATAATGGCTTGTCATGAACAACAAAAGATTTGGCTTAGAAACACACACACACACAAACCTAAGGTAAAGAGGGTAAAAAGAATAGTACCTAAAGTTAGGCCCCTAAATCATGAAAATCCACAGTTTAGATATACTGAATTACAAAAAAAAAAAAAAAAAAAGTCAGCTTGTACTGTCTCCGTTTAGAAAAAAAGTCTTAATGATTAAAACTTGTTTCTATATAATTAGATTGTTAAAAAATTCAGATGAAAGCAGGAAGTTTAAGCATTTATAATACAGTATATATCCCATAACAATTTCATACAGCATGTGTACACAGTGAACCAAAACAAAGTTAACCAAAACTAGAAAAAATTAATTTACCTTTCTTTCCCATATCTGAATCTCTCCTCTCCACAGCTCTTTTGAATCAATAATATTTATTAGATTATCTGAAGCCACAACATCTGCTGATAGGTAGTCTGCAATTTTTTGCCAGCCACTGTAAATGTAAAGAAAAAAGAATGAATCTCATATTTCATCTAGTTTTACAGATTAACATGCTATGTGGTTTAATCCAATGTATCTACTAAATGTTAGCACTAAACACAGACTTCTGAAAATATGTGAACACAGAGAAATATGTATAACTTTGTACTCTGAAAAGTACAAACTTTTACAGAAATGCTGGCTCCCCCTTCTGTAGGGGAAGGTGTTTCCGTGCTCCACCAAGATGACAGTAGGATGCACTGGCCTGTATCAAGCAATGACTGGCTTGGCAAAATAAGTCGGCCTGTAATTAGCAGTCTTGTGGTCTGCACGTCCTACTATTGGCCATCTCTGTGTACAAAGGGGAATAAGGAGGCATGTATGGAAAGGGAAGACATTGGCTTCGCTTGCCAACTAGAAGATCTCCCTACCCTTGTTCATTGTTTGTGTGGGTTTACATGTTGAAAGAGCAGGACCAGGTTGCCTCATTATGGATAAGGGATATTCAGCACAGCACGGAGCTAAGCCTACTTGATCCAAAGCAGGTTGCACAGGGAAGTGTTGACTGCCATACTTGAAACTAGGAAGGAATTTTCCATTGAGATAAATTGATCATGATAGTTTTTCATCTCCCTCTTTGTGTATTAGCAGGTGTCTTACGACAAGTAAATATTTTCTCTAGCTATAGGTGTTTATTTCAGGACTACGCATTTAGTTTCCTTGTTTTATCACAATTCTGTTGACCAGGTCTCAAGCAAGGTAACATATTATGGGATTAACCCTCTGTCCCAAATGCCAGGCTTGGATTTGAAAGAAAGTACATGGTTATGGCAAATGACAACAAGACTATGAATGACTGAGCCTACCTATTGGACCCAAAACTTAGGCACCCCTACTCTAGTTCCCAATTCTCTTCATGGGGAAAAAAGCAGCTGAAGTGACTTGTGGTTAAAAATAAAACATATCCAAAGTCATTCTATATTTTACACTGAGCTGACTAGGTGGGAGGGTAATAGGCAATCAACAAACTTGGGTGTAATTAAAAATATTCAAGTCAATAGTCTTAACTTCAAAAGGCAAAAATAGCAACTTGATTCCTGTTGTAAATATAAAGGGAAGGGTAAACACCTTTAAATCCCTCCTGGCCAGAGGAAAAACCCTTTCACCTGTAAAGGGTTAAGACGCTAAGATAACCTCACTGGCACCTGACCAGAATGACCAATGAGGAGACAAGATACTTTCAAAGCTGGAGGGGGGGAGAACAAAGGGTCTGTCTGTGTGTGCGATGCTTTTGCCAAGACAAGAGCAGGAATGCAGGTCACAACTCCTGTAAAGAGTTAGCAACCAATCTAGTTAGATATGCGTTAGATTCTGTTTTGTTTAAATGGCTGATCAAATAAGTTATGCTGAATGGAATGGATATTCCTGTTTTTATGTCTTTTTGTAACTTAAGGTTTTGCCTAGAGGGATTCTCTATGTTTTGAATCTGATTACCCTGTAAGGTATTTACCATCCTCATTTTACAGAGGTGATTCTTTTACTTTTTCTTCAATTAAAATTCTTCTTTTAAGAACCTGATTGCTTTTCATTGTTCTTAAGATCCAAGGGTTTGGATCTGTGTTCACCTATGCAAATTGGTGAGGATTTTTATCAAGCCTTCCCCAGGAAAGGAGGTGTAGTGCTTGGGAGGATATTGGGGGGGGGGGGACGTTTCCAAGTGGGCACTTACCCTGTTATTTTTGTTAGACACTTTGGTGGTGGCAGCATAAAGGTTCAAGGACAAAAGGTAAAACAGTTTGTACCTTGGGGAAGCTTTTAACCTAAGCTGGTAAGAATAAGCTTAAGGGGTCTTTCATGCAGGTCCCCACATCTGTACCCTAGAATTCAGAGTGGGGAAGGAACCTTGACAATTCCCATTTTATAAAAATTACAAACCCAGATTCAAAGTTAATCAATAATAATTGCGTGTTGTAACATATTAACTTTATACAATAGGTTATGTAAAATGAAGCCAGGATATCAGGGAAAACTAGATATATGAGGGAAAGTTGAGTAAAATGAGATAAAATATATTTATATAATGTGCCCTAGACCAGGGGTATCCAAACTTTTTGGATCGCGCACCCCCAGGGCCAGCTCTGGGGAAGCAAAAAAAAGAAAAAGCTGCCACCAGTGTGCCGCCGAAGGGTCAGCGCTGCTTTGGGGGGGCTCCTCCTGCCACGCACCCCCACGGGGGCTCTCGCGCACCCCACTTTGGAGACCACTGCCCTAGATATTAAGGAAGCTTTTTAAATGCTTGCATTTCTGTCGGCCCCTTTGCTGAAAGCATGTATTAATAGAAACAGAATTGTCTGGATAGCTCCTCCTCTTAAATAACGAGAAGAGAGAAATCTGTACTTTCCTAAAGAATACCTGTCAAGAACGAAGACATTGCATGAGCTTTATTTAAAAGCAGTAGCGCATGTTGACGCAAAACAAATAACGAACCTGCTTGAACAACTAAAAAAATCGTACCCTTTATAGTCATTTGTTGCTATAGTGATTTTTGCAGAATGCCATTCTCTCAGATGTTTCAGGGCACCAATAGCAGGTAAGCAGTCTTTTAACTTGGGGGCATCTCTTTCAGAAGACTGTAGTATTACATCAACCATGGCTCTTCCTGTAAATAAAGCACACATGGTGTGCATTAATTGCATTCATCTCATTTTAAAGAGTAAGCCAAATTTATAAAACATTTTACAGAAGATAGGTTTTACTGCTGATGGAGATCAGATATGTTAAAGGGGCAGAATCAAGAAATGTAGGAACAAGATTTGAAACACTGCTATTGGAATTTCAGCCTGTCTCTTTAGCATCTCCTCTTGGATGTCTTGTCACCAGCTTATGCTCCACAGGAAAACCAAAACGCATTATCTTCTCTCCCAAACATTCTCTACTTCCCTCCCTTCTCTATCACCATCAACAACTCCAGCCCTGTGACTCGAGTCAATGATACACAGATTATTTTTGACTCCCCCTTCTCCCTTGCCAGGCTGTGTCTGGTTTCATCCTCCTCAACCTCTTCAAGGTGTGTACTTTTCTTTCCATCCCTCACAGTGAAATCCGCCATTCACACCCCCTATATCCTGCCCTGATCACTGCAACATCCTCCACTCTGACCTCCCAAAAAAATCACACATCGCTCACTTCAGTCCAGTCATTTTCCTTGCCTGTTGATTTGATCATCACTCTCCTTTGGATCTCTCCACTAACACTCCACACCCACTTCCGCCACCCATCAGCTAGTGAATCAAATGTAAGCTTCAAAACTCTCTAATTCCCCCTCCCTATTCACACTTGCACATTGGGCTTCATGTTACCTACCCTCCACCCCCTCTCTGCCAATGTTCTCAACCTCCATCTGCCTTCTCACAATCAGTTACCTCCATCACTTCTTCCACACAGCCCCCACCACATGCATGGTCCAACCTCCCTGAGCTTATTCACAGGGCAAATATCCAGTCCATGTTTAAGTCACTAAAGTATCCACTTCTGCAATGCCACCTAGAGTGAAACTAGCTGACATTTAAAAATTCCCCATTTGTTGCTCCCATTCCCTTAACTTCTGTCTGTCTGTCCTTAGCCTGCAAGCTCCTCAGAACAAGGACCTTCAAGATAAACACTAGCCTTTCTGTGAAATTACCAGGAGCAGGGAGCTTGTCCGATAACTGATGTAGACTCTCTGCAGATTCTTCATAGACACTGAAATTAAAAAGGATTACCAGACTGAAAAAGTTTATAATCAAAATTATCCAGAACTAAATTACCTGTAATGATATTTAGCACTTCATGAAAGTATATTACATCTTTAAAGCACGAAGCAATTACCATATAAACCCTGCAAGGAATCACTGACATTTCCACTTTACTCACAGGGACACAAAGGCAGATGGAGAAATCACTTAACCTAAGGCCACAGAGTCAGTGGTAGAATTGGGTTTAGAATTCAAGAGTATTTGGCTCCCAGCTCTGTGCTCTGTCCACTAGTCTATGCTGCCTCTCAAAGCGAGTAACCAAAGGTAAAATCTTCAGCTTCATTTACAGCTCTTTACAATCTTCTGCTCTGTAGTACTATAGCTATCAACATATTAACAATAATGGATAACTATCCATCCTATGTATTTTACTACTTACATTTAATATGAGTAGTTTCATTCTCAGTGCTACACCTTTACCTATTGCAATAGAATCTACTACATTTACATGTGTAATCTTATTTTCCAGAAGAGACGTGCAAGGCATGCCTTATCTTGGTACAAGTGACAGCATAAGAACATACACCATTTATACATTCACTACATAAAAGCCTAGATTTTAAACTTAAAAACGGTAGGAATTTAAGTATCTAAGATTTTAAACAGCCAGAAGAAAAGTGTAGTCAATTGGTTCCCTCTAAGATTAAAAAAAACCACCCCAATATCTCTAGAATGCCAACTACTCTATATGTTAACAACCTGTGCTCTATGCTGCCATTTCCTCACTATCAAGATTTGTAATTTGTTCTTTAGAACCGAAGTTTTGGGGATTTTTTCTTAAGCTCTTCTCTGAATTCAAGTCACCTGAGCAAATGTTGTGTTACAACGAATCAACTTTAGACCTAGCGTCCTGATTTCTGCAAGAGTGAGCCATCCCCTTTTTGGAGTGGTTACACTTGAGGAGGCAAGAAGCTTGTGTTCCTATTACTGGGTTTTTTTGTGATTACTTTCATGAGTTCATGTTTTGTGACATAGCTGTTTTGCTTTTTGAATTTTTAGTTATTATTAGGGCCCTACCAAATTCATGGCAATGAAAAACGCATCACAAACTGTTAAATCTGGGGTCTTTTGTGTACTTTTACTCTATACTATACAGATTTCATGGGGGACACAAGCGTTTCTCAAACTGGCGGTCCTGACACAAAAGGGAGTTGCAGGGGGATCACAAGGTTATTTTAGGGGGCTCGGGGTATTGCCACCCTTATTTCTGTGCTGCCTTCAGAGAGCAGTGGCTGTTGGCCAGATGCCCAGCTCTGAAGGCAGCGCCCTGCCAGCAGCAGCCCTGAAGTAAGGATGGCAATACCGTACCATGACATCCTTACTTCTGAGCTGCTTCCTTCAGAGCTGGGTGGCCGGAGAGTGGCAGCTGCTGACTGAGGGCCCAGCTCTGCCGGCAGCAGGGCTAAGTCATTATGCAAGGTAGCCTGTTTCCTCTTGTTTTTTCCTACCCCCCTCACCCCCAGATGTTCTGGTTTAACTTGGATTTAAACTTGGAGAGTGGTCAGTTTAGATGAGCTATTACCAGCAGGAGAGTGAGTTTGTGTGTGTATGGGGGTGGGGGGGGATGTGAGAAAACCTGGATTTATGCAGGAAATAGCCCGACTTGATTATGTAAAGAGTTGTCACTTTGGATGGGCTAGCACCAGCAGGAGAGTGAATTTGTGTGGGGGGTGGAGGGTGAGAAAACCTGGATTTGTGCTGGAAATGGCCCACCTGTTGATCACTTTAGATAAGCTGTTACCAGCAGGACAGTGGGGTGGGAGGAGGTATTGTTTCATATTCTCTATGTATATATAAAGTCTTCTGCAGTTTCCACGGTATGCATCTGATGAAGTGAGCTGTAGCTCACGAAAGCTCATGCTCAAATAAATTGGTTAGTCTCTAAGGTGCCACAAGTCCTCCTTTTCTTTTTGCGAGTACCATACCACTTCTGCGCTACAGCTGGCGGCAGCTCTGCTTTTAGAGCTGGGCTCCTACAATTACAACACCATGAAATTTCAGATTTAAATAGCTGAAATCATGGAATTTACTATTTTAGAAATCCTATCACCATGAAATTGACCAAAATGTACCATGCATTTGGTAGGGCCCTAGTTATTATTGTTGGGTTAACCATCTCCTTCTCTTTTGTATCTCCACTAAGATGTTGTGAGGGGAGCGGTGTAAGCCCTGCTGTGATGGAAGAGATCCCGCTAGGCTCCCCAGGAGGCATAACCACTTCCCCTTTGAAAAGTTTATTGTTGGAGTTCTAACATGTTTCAATTATACAAAGGCTTTATTAGGCAGATTATACATTGCTGAAAAGCCAAAGGAGAAAACCTAACATGAAGTTTTGCTTGTATTAGGACTCTGTGCTTTTAAAAACAAGGAGGAGGAGAAAATGGCAAAGGCAAGTGAAAAGCAGAGCCAAGACCAGATGAGTACTGCCTCATCTGGCCTACATAGAGGGGATGGAGTGTGAGTAGACAAGTGAAAGAGACCTATCAGAGATGTCACTGAACTGTGGGCAAGAACATTGTGGAGTAGCACTGGGTAGCACTATTGCAACTGGCATGTTCTGGCAATGCTGGCATTACAGTGGTGCAGAGGGACACAGTGGAGGATGCAACTGTGTTTATCTTTGCTCAGAGTAAGTGAAATAACAGTGGTATGAATGTCAGTGCACACTTGGAAGAAGTTGTGAGTGTAGACACATGGCACCTACCCAAGTGCTTGGTGGTTACATCTGCGGTAGAATGGTCTACATTAGAGCATTTTGGCAAAGTCAAAAATGCTGTAGAGAAGATCCTAAAACTGGTGTTACTTGGAAATATTTTTTGTAGATTATCATCAGAATAACAAAAGTGAGTATACAAAAACTAAAAGCCTGATTTTAAAAGTATATTTGAAGACACACTGCTATCTATTTTATAAAGATGCTATGTTTCAGAGAATAACTGACTGGCTCTTCTAGTGGTAATTTTTCCCCATGATGCATTAGCACATTTTATAGTTTTTAAACTAAGGGCTGAGGGAAAGCCAACAGGTACAGAGAAGCATGTGGTTCGGACAGAGACATCCCTTAGGGAAGGATCTACTAATGGAGATTCCCTATGTCTTAGTAAGCAGGAGAGTATGGAAGATAAAATACAGGTATGATTTGGTGAGAAACAGTCAAATGAAAAAAAGTCTCATTCAATTATGTCATGTAATGGGAGACAGCTAAAAAGTAACAAGTTTTTAAAGTGCTTATATACCAATGCTAGAAGTCTAAATAAATAATAAGATGGGTGAACTAGAGTGCCTCGTATTAAATGAGGATTATTGATAATAATAGGCATCACAGAAACTTGATGGAATGAGGATAATCAACGGGACACAGTAATAACAGGGTACAATATATATCAGAAGGACAGAACAGGTCGTGCTGGTGGGAGAGTGGCACTACATGTGAAAGAAAGCACAGAGTCAAATGAAGTAAAAATCTTAAATGAACCAAACTGTACCATAGAATCTCTATGGATAGCAATTCCATGCTCGAATAATAAGAAGATAGAAGTAGAGATATATTACTGACCACCTGACCAGAATGGTGATAGTAACTGTGAAATGGTCAAGGAGATTAGAGAGGCTATTAAAATAAAAAACTCAATAATAATGGGGGATTTCAACTATCCTCATATTGACTGGGTACATATCACCTCAGGACAGGATGCAGAGATAAAGTATCTTGACATCTTAAATGACTGCTTCTTGGAGCAGCTAGTCCTGGAACCCACAAGAGGAGAGGCAATTCTTGATGTGTCCTAAGTGGAGAGCAGGATCAGGTCCAAGAGGTGAATATAGCTGGATCACTTGGTGATAATGACCATAATATAATTAAATTTAACATCCCTGTGGCAGGGAAAACACCGCAGCAGCCCAACACTGTAGCATTTAATTTCAGAAAGGGGAACTACACAAAAATGAGGAGGTTAGTTAAACAGAAATTAAAATGCACAGCACCAAAAGTAAAATCCCTGCAAGCTGCATGGAAACTTTTTAAAGACGCCATAATAGAGGCTCAACTTAAATGCATATCCCAAATTAAAAAACATAGTAAGAGAATCAAAAAAGAGCCACCATGGCTAAACAACAAAGTAAAAGAAGCAGTGAGACAAAAAGGCATCCTTTAAAAAGGAGAAGTTAAATCCTAGTGAGGAAAATAGAAGGAGCATAAACTCTGGCAAATGAAGAGTAAAAATATAATTAGGAAGGCCAAAAAAGAATTTGAAGAACAGCTAGCCAAAGACTGAAAAAGTAAGAGCAAAATGTTTTTTAAGTACATGATAAGCAGGAAGCCTGCTAAACAACCAGTGGGGCTATTGGACGATCAAGATGCTAAAGGAGCACTCAAGGACGATAAGGCCATTGCAGAGAAACTAAATGAATTCTTTGCATCAGTCTTTATGGTTGAGGATGTGAGGGAGATTCCCAAACCAGAGGCATTCTTTTTAGGTGACAAATCTGAGGCACTGTCCCGGGTCGAGGTGCCATTCGAGGAGGTTTTGGAACAAATTGATAAACTAAACAGTAATAAGTCACCAGGACCAGATGGTATTCACTCAAAAGTTCTGAAGGAACTCAAATGTGAAATTGAAGGACTACTAACTGTACCTAACATTTAAATCAGCTTCTGTACCAAATGACTGGAGAATAGCTGATGTGACACCAATTTTTAAAAAGGGCTCCAGCGGTGACCCCAGCAATTCCAGGCCGGTAAACCTGACTTCAGTACCAGGCAAACTGGTTGAAACTATAGTAAAGAACAAAACTGTCAGACACATAGATGAACATAATTTGTTGGGGGATTAGTCAACATGGTTTCTGTAAAGGGAAATCATGCCTCACCAATCTACTAGAATTCTCTGAGGGGGTCAACAAGCATGTGGACAAGGGGGAATCTAGTGGATATACTGTATTTAGATTTTCAAAAAGCCTTTGACAAGCTCCATCACCAAAGGCTCTTAAGCAAAGTAAGCAGTCATGGCATAAGAGGGAAGGTCCTCTCCTGGATTGGTAACTGGTTAAAAGATAGGAAACAAAGGGTAGGAATAAATGGTCAGTTTTCAGAATGGAGAGAGGTAAATGGTGGTGTTCCCCAAGAGTCTGTACTGGGATCAGTCCTACTATACATATTCATAAATGGTCTGGAAAAAGGGGTAAACAGTGAGGTGGCAAAATTTGAGGATAATACAATACTCAAAACAGGTAAGTCCTAGGCAGACTGTGAAGAGTTACAAAAGGATCTCTCAAAACTGGGTGACTGGGCAACAAAATGGCAGATGAAATTCAATGTTGATAAATGCAAAGTAATGAACATGGGAAAACATAATCCCAACTATACATATAAAATGATGGGTTCTAAATTAGCTGTTACCACTCAAGAAAGAGATCTTGGAGTCACTGTGGATAGTTCTCTGAAAACATCCACTCAATGTGCAGCAGCAGTCAAAAAAGCGAACAGAATGTTGGGAATCATTAAGAAAGGGATAGATCAGTGGTTCTCAAAGCCAGGCTGCTGCTTGTTCAGGGAAAGCCCCTGGCGGGCTGACCGGTTCGTTTACCTGCTCGTCCACAGGTTCGGCCAGTGGGAGCCGCAATCGGCCGAACCTACGGATGTGGCAGATAAACAAACCGGTCCGGCCCGCCAGGGGCTTTCCCTGAACAAGCGGCGTACCGGCTTTGAGAACCACTGGGATGGATAATAAGACAGAAAATATCATATTGCTTCTATATAAATCCATGGTACGCCCACACTTTGAATACTGCATGCAGATGTGGTCGCCCCATCTCAAAAAAGATATATTGGAATTGGAAAATGTTCAGATAAAGGCAACAAAAATAATCAGGGGTAAGGAACGGCTGCCGTTTGAGGAGAGATTAATAAGACTGGGACTTTTCATCTTAGAAAAGAGATGACTAATGGGAGATATGATAGAGGTCTATAAAATCATGACTGGTGTAGAGAAATTAAATAAGGAAGGGTTATTTACTCCTTCTCATAACACAAGAAATAGGAACCATCAAATGAAATGAATAGGCAGCAGGTTTAAAACAAACAAAAAGTAGTATTTTTTCACACAATGCACAGTAAACCTGTGGAACTCCTTGCCAGAGGGTGCTGTAGAGGCCAAGATTATAACAGGGTTCAAAAAAGAACTAGATAAATTCATCAATGGCTATTGGCCAGGATGGACAGGGATGGTGTCCCTAGCCTCTGTTTGCCAGAAGCTGGGAATGGGCGACAGTAGATGGATCACTTCATGATTACCTGTTCTGTTCATTCCCTCTGGGGCATCTGGCATTGACTACTGTCAGAAGACAGGATGCTGAGCTAGATGGACCTTTGGTCTGACCCAGTATGGCTGATTTTATAGGTTTTTCAGTTTTCAACATGCATTTAAACTTCTTTTACTCATTTGTTTGCTCTCCTTTCTCTCCATAAACTTACTTTATCTTGAAATGATAAAATGAAAGGAGATTTAGACTAAACATAATTCTAACAGATTGTATGCTATACCTGAGATTATCAAAGGGACCTAAGGTAGTTATACATGAGCACTAACTGGAAGCAGGAATTTCTGTTCTGTCAGAAATGCTGACATTTCAAAATTTGTTTTTGTTCAGAATTGGAACAAAAAGGCAAAATTCAAGATTTCCCTTGGAACAAAAATTCCAAATATTTCAATTTGGTAACAACAAAAGAATTCAATAACATCAAACCAATATCTAGTATTAAATGTAATATTTTATAATTATTATAAAAACCAAAATTAAATTAATCAAATCAATAAAGTCAAAACAAACAAAATTGTCAAAATCAGCACATTCCCATGAAATGGTTTTGATTTGGACCAATCTGCATTCTCCAGTGGAAAACGTTTCAAAATTTTTTTTGACCAGTTATATTAGACACCCAACTCCTACAGCATTTCAGTGAGATTTGAGCACCTAACTGCCTCAGGCTCCTTTGAAAATCCTGGAACATGTCACTACAATGGACCTTTTTGAGGAAATAAAATATAAGAATATAATATAAATTTTAACTGTGCATACACACATAATTCAAGACAGGCAGAGTATTAGGTATTCTAGTCACTGAACAGCTAGAAGTAAAATGACAGATTAGCAAACATAAACAAACATCTTTGTGATACTTTGAAATGATGTCAAAGTTCTTAAAAAACAGAGAACAAAAATCAATCCCCTATATTTATGTTTAACTGACTGATTCAAACATCTTGATGTAGAACAAAAAGGGGACATGTTTCATGCCTGTCTCAGTATCTTAATTAAGTCAGCAGTTAGAACTAATGAAAAAGAATTCATTCACTGGGTATTCACAGGAAGCAAGATAAAACTTAAGAGCACCACTCACAATATTGGGCTGCCAGTTAATTAAGCACCAAAAAGTAGGGTCTGCCTCTGGCTAGAAAATATGCATGCTGTTTCCAAACCAAGTCAAGGTTTCCATGTAAACTTTATTATATCCTGCATTTTCGCAGTAGAATATTTCTTTTTGTACAAAAATTTCAGTGGTTAGTAAGATAACTTTTATGGAATAACAAAATAACTAAGATATTTTAAAGTAAAGAGTCATGTAAAAACCACACTGAATTTTGGATTTAAAGGTTTTCGGGGATTACTGATTAATTAAAATGGACACAAACTATCATCAAAAGAACTAATTAGTTCACTTGGTTCCCTTGTTCTGTATCGTATCTGAATCACTACATGTTTCAATAAAAATTTAATAAGCATACTCAATCAGTGACAGTGACTCTCTGCTGCTGCTATCTTCCTCCTCAAAACTCTGAATAGCACTCAGGCATTCTTCTATACTGGTTTGAAGAGAGTTTTCACTTTCATCTTTTTTCACATCGAAATTGATCTCCTCCCAGTCAGAACTACAAAACTAATAAAGCAAAAGGAACGTATTAGTCAAAGTGCTGATTTATGTTAATCAAAATTTGCACAGTCAGCTAAAGAGTTACAGAACTGTGTTTCTTCTTACCTGATAAAAATCATATATAACTTGATTTGCAAAATACCATTTCCTCATACCTGGAACGCCGGCCACGGAACATGCTAAAGAGGAATAAAACAAATTTTTAAACATCAAAAGCGATCCATACACGTCCATTCTTCCTATTTCAATTTCATTTCCTTCTTACAAAGATTTTGAATTAAGATTTTTACTTGTGACCTTACTTTACTGCTTGAGTTACTTAAATTTCTAACCCAGTCATATATAACTTTTCAGGTAACTACAGCCATTTTTTTTTTAAACGAAGATGCTTTCTTTTGGCTATAATTTGCCCTCTGTCCTGGGCAGGCTCTATTTTGGTCATCTGAGGACCTATGTTACAAATACAACCATGTCAGGTAACCTGGTTATAACACAGTTACCCCCAATGTGCTAACAAATGTCCTAATTTGTAGTATGTGCAGAATATTGGGGCTTTAGCCTACAGATATGTTGAAGGTCCAGTCTGCACTACAAATTGATTCCATTCCAGACTGGTTGAAACCAATTAATAATGGGGGCAACTGCCTTGTAATCAGTTCCCCCAACGTGGCTGTATTGTAGCATAGGTAAGACGTGCATAAAAATTGCAAATCGTGCCACACTAAACTGAATGGTGGTGAATCTGTAGATGGTAAAAGTTACCAGTATTGGAAGGTCATATTTGCATCTTAGTTTTGTAGCAAAACGTGCTTAACATGTACTTTTTAATATGCCACTGTTGCTTACGCATTAGTCTTCTTTTGGTATCACAACTAAAGCCACAGGCATTGAATCATTTGTGAGCCTCTAGTTGTACCAAGGATAATGTAAGAGAATTTCTCAGTTTGATTCTTCACAATTATCCCCTCCCACAATTTATGCACATACTTCAGCTGAATCACAACACTCATCAGCATGGCTCAGATGGCTGATAGAATGAGAGAGTAATGTTTTCCCTAAATCAGCAAGCATTGCAGTGACTTCCCTAAAACTGAAAATAACATTGCCAGCTCAGTAGTCTGATAACTCTCTCAAACTGCTTAACTTAAAAGCGGGATCCCTCCTCATGGCTCATAATCAGCTGTCCACTGGAGGTAATGGGCTAGCCGTAAACAAACAGAGCATATCCAGATCAGTTAATTATATTTTGTAAAGTAATTAATTCACCCTTTTGCGTAAAAATTAACAAATTACTTTGTTTAGTTGTTTTGAAATCCAGTCATTCCTGTCCTACGCATAAAGCTATAGCCATGGTACTCAGTAAGGTCACAATTGTGCTATGTAAGTCACACATAAATGCAACAGCTATCAGAGATTAATAGGTTGATTATTAAGTAAATCAGTAATATAATACTCAAATTAAATAGTGAATTTCAGGTATTGTCAAAAAATACCAGAACAGGCACCTTAGAAATTTGTACAAGTTCATCAGAGGATCTCAAAGCACTTTACAAATGTTCATTACTTGAGGCTCTGAATGCCTCTGCAAGCTTTACACGTATTACATCCATTAAAATGAACCAAGGTACAAAGAATATGATTATTAATAAAAAACCTGGGACCACAAGTATAATTATGAAGGGCCTGATCATGGGAGATAAGGAGCTCATCACCTCACAGAGTCAGTCCGTAGCCAAGGCACAATGGGTATGACCTGAACAAAGAGTTGCCATGAGCGAGCTGCAGACCTGAAGAAAACTCAGTCTGCTATTCTTGCCATTTGACTTTACTGCCACTAAACCACAGTGCCCTGGCTGCTAGGAACAAGACACAACATGTAGATTAATATAGTTTTTGGACAACATTTGCTTACCTGACACTTACTAGTCAAAATAAAAAAAACCTGAGAGGCCACATTTCCTACTACCCAAAGCCACATACCTTGTATTCTATACAGATTCTTATACCACGCTCATTCATATAGTATTTGAGCACCTTCCAGTAGTAGATTAAGAAATGTGAATAAAATCTGTCACATTTTGTTTCTTCTCTCATCATTTCCCCTTGAGAGAAGTGTGAGTAGTGGAATGCCTTGTGGTAGGGCTTGCTATTTTTTAAGTGTATGTGTCTATATATTTATGTTAAAGACAACAAAATCAAAGAGATGAGCCTTGCCTTAGAGCAGAAGGTGTGAAGTTTGCAATGGTCCTTATTTCAGGTGGAAGCTGTTTCCACAGTCTCTGACTCCCAAGAAAGTACTGTTTCACACACAGACAAGCTTTACCTTTTCAAGTGAAGGAATAAAACAGATAGTGTGTACTGTATTTAACTATAATATTGTCAGTGTTCTATTTAATACTTTTTTATGATGTAGCTTACAACTTGGTTTTACTGAAAAAGCAGAAAAATAATTTGACTATATTATTCAACATGTTTCACTGGAATTTGCTCAAATACTAGTTAGTGAAAATACTGACAGCTGGACAGTTTGACAAGCTCTTTGGAAATTATTACAACTCTCTTGCATGTGTTATCCCCTCTTTCTCTTCCTAGCTTCACTCCAGTTGCTTTCTTCTTTCTTTCCTATGATAAATCATGATCTTTTCTTGAGTTGTCCTCTGCATCCATTTCCCCTTTTCTCCATCCACCCACCTTTTGTGTCTGCCTCTCTCTCATTTTCCCTATATAGTGTCTCACAACAAAAATCTCACTATGTACTTTACTTCTCCTTTTCAACTTATCCCATCAGTCCTTCCACCTCTTTCTCCTGCCCACACTCATCCATAAGGCCTGGAAATTCTACAGATGCCTAATATCTAGAGAACTAAGCCTATTAGCCAGAGAAAAATATGGAAAATAGGTGGGAGAAGGAAATGTGACTGTCCATGGCAATGCCCAAGTCTGAATCAGCCCGCTCCCCCTTCCCTCCATTAAGCTGCTGGGCAAGGCGAGGAAAATGCTGGGGTTCCTGTCAGAGTGCTATCCCAGGACATTGTTTTAAGGTCCTAGCTTTCATTTCAGTTTCCTGCCCAAAGGTTTCTAAAACACATTAAATCCCCTAAATCAATTGCTAGAAGAGAGAAAAAGAATCCTCTCTGTTCCATCTCATACCCCTGAAACAACTCCTCCTCCTGGCTGCAAAGATGGGTGGAGGTCTCTACTATTTTACTTTACCCCCAATCACCTGGCTACTTCCTGCGCAAGGGGAGTCAAGGGAAGACTTCACCATTTCCCAAGCAGCAGCAAAGTGAAAGTGACTCTATTTTTGTCAGTTTCAGTACTGCCTTGTTCTGAACAGCAATGAAAACACCTGTTGTAGCTTGGGAAAGCCACAAGCTGGAGCAGACACTGTGGCTGTCAGGAGTTTTTTCTGGCTAAATCTGCATTGGTTATACTTGTTTCACATTTGGAAGATTTTCTTCAAAAATATAATGGCTAGAAACTTTAATTGTGGATTTAAAAAAAAAAATGAAAGCACAGATTCTGCAGAGAGTGATGACATTCATTCATTCAAACGTTCCTATTTGCCCAGGGAACATAATTTTTCAAGCCATGGTTAAACAACAATAACCACAATTACATTTGCCTTATATTGCTGTTTGCCACTATATTTACCTGGGAATGTGCTTACATCCTCATTTATAAAGGTTCTACAATTTTCTTTCAGAAGGTTATAAACATTTGCAGTAGTTATACCTGCAAAAAACAAGTTTCTATTAATAGAAAATACAAAAACAATTCCTTCCTTTCTTGCAAACGCCAGAAAATTTGCTAGTTAGCCCAGCAGATCCAGTTAGTCTCAAGCGTCTGTTTAGCAGAGGGTGCCTTTAAAGGATATGCAAAGAAGAGCCTGTTTTGAGGCCTGAAATTTGTTGTGACACATTCAGCCAGGAAGAGAACTCACAAGAGCAATATCATGGGAACTTGCACCTCCCCATCTATAAGAAAGTTCAACTTGCCACAATTTACCCAGGGTCTGGGCGGATTCTCCCTTACTGACAATTTTTAAATCAAGACTGGATGTTTTTCTAAAAGATCTGCTCTAGAAACTATTTTGGAGAAGTTCTATGGACTGTGTTACACAGGAGGTCAGATTAGACGATTACAATGCTCCCTTCTGGCCTTAGAATCTATGAATTAATCTACAAATGAAAAAACAAAACCACAAAAAAGCTACCAAGTCACAAAGGGCCTCCTTCTGAGATGTGCCATAGCATAGAACTGTTGCCTAGAACTGTTGCGGGCACCTCTCAGAAGCTGGCCCTTTGTGACTTAGTAGCTTTTTTGTGGTTTTGTTTTTTCATTTGTAGATTAATTCATTTGTCGCTCTATACATCGGTGTGACGGTGCACTGCAAACATGACCACACGATGTAAACATCTCACGCCACAATTTTGCAGGTCTCTTTTATCCTCTAGGAAACACGCCCCTCTCCCTTGCTGGCCGGCTGCACGGTGGGATTGTTCCCAAGCTCCCCCGGCAGAGGGTAGCGTTAGGAAGGAATGATGATGGCTCAAAACCAAGCTGTTCCGAGCTCCCGGGGTGGCCTGGAGCGGAAGGCAGCGTGGCGAATGAATGCACTTGTGTGCCCACTGCTCCACACTCAGCCTGCCCGAAACCTGGGACGCGTCCCACCAGGAATGCGCGCTGCAGGGGAAAACACGCACAACGCTCGAGCCACGACTCGAAGTCTTGACCACCCCAGCGAACAACGCTGGAAGTGATGCCACGGCCCCTCTCAGGGACGCGTCGCCCCGCACAGAGCCTGGGGGTCCTGGTCACCCCTTCGCCCGCCCCCCAACGCTTGCAGCTGGTTGTACCCAGACCTCCCCCGACTCCTGTGGCCCCCAGCCGGCTCACCCACTCGGGGCCCACCGCACCAGCGCCCGCCCCCGGCGAGAGACGCCCCTCTGGCTGTGCCTGGAGGAGCCGCACCGGGCGGCGCACGACACCGCGGGATGCGAGCTCCTGGCCCCGGGGCTCTCTGGCCACCCGCGATTCCCGCTCGCCGGCACCTGCTACGCGCTCAGCGCCGCCGGCCCGCGGGGCTCGCCGCTCCTCCCAGCTCACGAACAGCAGGTACCGGTCCATAGCCGCGGCCGGGCGCCTCCGCCCGGGGGGACGCTCAGCAGCCAGCGCCGGCCTCTCCCGCCTCCAACGCTTCCGCTTCCCGCCGCCGCCGGGAGTCGGGGCCGGGTCCGGCAGCGAACCCGCTCCCCCGGCGCGCCGCTCGTCCGCCATGGCTAGCTACACCAAGGCGGCCCAGGTGAGCGGGCCCCTCCGCGGCCCCGGGCAGGGCTCCTCGCCGGGTGAGGGGACGCGGGAGCCCACGGGCCGGCCGCTGAGGCGGCTCCTCTCAGCGGGGGAGGGGAGAGCGCGGGCTGCGCCCCTCACTGGCTGCGTGCCCTCGGCCTGGTGCCTCCCTTTCCACCTCTGCGGGGACTGGTGCCTCTGCGGGGCGGGGAGCGGGGCCCTCTCCCCAGGAGCTGTGTTGTCCCTGCCCTACGGCGCAAGGGCCGGCTGCGGCCTCCAGGCCGGGGCGCTTCCCGGGGATGAGTCTGGCCTGTGGAGGGCGGCAGGCCGTGGGCTGCAGAGCAGGGAAGGGAAGGGCTCTCTGCATTTCCCTAGCAGTTTTCCCTGCAGGTAAAGCCTCCACGCGTTGCTGTATTTCCCCTCCCTGGAGAGAGGAGTAAAGCTCATCGTGCCCACGTGGGGCAGCTAATTTTGTAGGGCAGCAAGTAACAGGGCAGGTACAGAAAGGAAGGAACAAACGTAGGCTTCAATCTTGCAAACGCTTCGGCCGGGATTCTGCCAACAATCGGGCACCTCTCTTGGGACAGTAGTAAAATTAAGCTTCTGCATAAATGTGTGCAGTAGGTGGTGCCTAAGTGTCTGCAGGATTAAGTAAAGTGTGTAAATGTTTGCAGGCGTAGAGTCAACCGATGGAAGTCAACCGAACTATTCCTGCTGATCCTGCTCTTCACTAATGAAGTGCTTGCAGGATTAGAGCTGTAATTCTTCCATTTAGAATTGTGTCCGTCCCCCCCTCTCCCAGCCCCCACCCCCGATGAAAGTAAAGAAAGCAATCAGAATTATGATGGCCTATAACTCTTATTATCTTGTTAGTTAGCAATAATTTATAAGAGGACATGTAGATTTTGAAAACAATACCAGAAAGTGGAAAAGACGTCTAGCTATTTCCTCATAGCATTATCACTATTGAACATAATTTATACAGCACTTTACAGTTTCCCCCACCCTTTCTTAAAATCTTGGGGAAATATAATAGGACATTAATGTTTGTACAGTATTTAGAAACAGTGATTAAAGTTTTTTTCCTAAAAATTAATTTATATATTGGTTAAAAATCATGGTAGTTAATCTCTAAAATATCTAATGTATTTTCTTGTAAATACGTAACATGATTGTGGTTTTGTGGAGTTATTTAGGCTGAGTGTATTTATTTTACTACATTAACTACAACTTTGTCAATCTTCTTTAGCAATGGGCTACCTTTGCCAGAGCCTGGTATCTCATAGATGGAAAGATGCAACCACCCGGAAAACTTGCAGCTGTGAGTGTAATCAGACTTCAGGGGAAGCATAAACCTATGTATCATGCACTAAGTAAGTATTGTAGTAAACTGAGGAAAGCTTGATTTCCTTCGCTTGTAAGTTTCCTTTCCTTTCAATTTCATTAATCATATTTTTTTTAAGTTTTTGTGTTTTCTGTATTCTTTACAAACTTTAAGACTCACCATTTTGTCCCCACCTTCATTTTTTTTCTCCCTGAGGCTTTATGTCACTGAACTATTCTTCCGTATAAAGCTAGGCTGTGTATTATTTAATGCTGAACAATTACGTTGCACTTATAGGTAGGATGACCAGACATCCCGATATTTAGTTGTTTGTCCCATGTCCCGACTGATGTATGGTCGGGATGCCATTTGTCCTGATATTTTGCTTCGGCAGCAGTCCGGCTTTTTTTTTTTTTTTTTTGCTTGGGGCGGCAAGCCTGTGGCTGCCCCCCCCCCATGTGTCCCAATATTTTGTTCTTGTCATCTGATCACCCTACTTATAGGTCTCATTTTTCTAGATGGTGTATAAACACATGGTCCCTGGCCTAACTATGTTTAACTGTAAGCTTCTCTGGGTAGGGATTTTGTATCTTCCTGTGTGTTTGTACTGCATCTAGCATAATGGAGTCATGAATCTGGTTTGAGGCCTCTGAGCAACTTCTGTAAAACAGATAATAATAGTAATATTCCCTACACTGTGCATCATGTATGGAAGCAAATGCCAGTCAGCTGTGAAAGAATGGAAGAGGAGAGCGGAGTCTAACATGCTAAGCCAATTCCATCAATGACAATCCTCTCTGCATGAGGATAAGTCTGGAGCTTTGCCAGTATGTGATTCGTTGAAGAGAGGTGGGCTAAGGCAGAGCTCCAATGCTCTTTGGAGCTTTTTGACTTTTAAACCACTGAATCTTCCAGCAGAAAAAACATTTCTTAATATAATTAAAAATCTAATTTATATTTATTTTGGCACACCTGAAGTCACCAGTCAGCTGCCTTTCACAAAGGGCCTGAAGTTTATGGAGAGACTCTTACTGAATTCAGTGGATTTTGTATCAGGTCCTTGATGCTGTGCAGTCTGAGGATCCAATTCTGCAAAGAGCCCATGTGGGTAAACCCCTACACCTATGTGAAGGTTCCCATTGCCTTCATTGAGGCATTGCACAGGCAATGAGAGGATCTGCCCATGTGGAGCCACTTGAAGAATTAGAGCTAATGTAGACAGTATTTTTGTTCTTACTTGCTTTTGCTTTTTTTTTAAACAGATGTGTATCAAGTTTTACTTTTTTATCCCACTCCAGTGGAACGTTTAAAATATATTCCTAATTATAAATTTACTAGTAGCTGCAAGCCTGTGCTGTTGCATGGGTATGATTTGTAAAGTTGTGTGTAAAAAAAGCAGAAAATAGCTGGATAGTAACAGACTGCGAATCTGGTGATATTGTAAACAAAAAACCATGCTTATACCTGTTTCCATCGCTTCACACTGACTGAACAGAAATGCTAGGCTTCTGAGTGATGTTTGTGGTTTTTGTTGTGTGTGCTGGTTGGGTCGATTTGTGTGTAGTTCTGGGAGAGTTGTGTGGATTTCTGCAGGTGCCAAACGAGGGTGTGAGGGCATTGATGGGCTACATGTTTTGGGGATTGTCTTGAGTTGTATGGATGGCAAATGGAGGGTATACTGGAGTTTGCAGTCTTCCTTTTACAACCAATGAAATTGTTGTATGCAAATTAGCTGTAGATGGGGTGGTGATTGGTTGAGTCACATTTGACATCACAATGGTCTAGGACTCTTGGCATAGTATAGATACATGCATTAGGCCATGTCTACAAAGTTTTGCTGATGCAAGTTTCACTGGCATACATAGAATCATAGGACTGGAAGGGACCTTGAGAGATCATCTAGTCCAGTCCTCTGCATTTATGGCAGGACTAAGTATAATCTAGACCATCCTGACAGGTGTTTGTCTAACCTGCTCTTAAAAATCTCCAGTGATGGAGATTCCACAACCTCCCTAGGCAATTTATTCCAGTGCTTAACCACCCTGACATCCACCACAGTTAGTATATCGCTTGTGCGTGTACGTATTTGGCTCCTTGCATTGGCGCTGCTTGTACTTACCAGGAGCGCTTGTGTTGATGCACAGTGCAATGTACCCTGGGTAAGTATCCCAGTGTGCAGCCTGCCACTGTTGAGCACATTGTCTTTTGCGTAGTTTTGGCAAAGCATGGTTGGCGAGAAAAGACTCATGCAAGGGTGACTGGGAGCAAGGGGTCAGCTTCCCATAATGCAGTGTTCTCCATCCCATAATATCATATCTATCCCATAATTTTTGCACCTATTTTCAATTTCCCACAAACCTGCACGGGACTTGTCACTGTCTGACATCTCTGACAGAAGTATGGAGCCTGTACCACTCTGCACTATTGTCATGGGCGTTTCAATCGCAATACACACAATCCTCTGGTATTTGCAAAGCTGCAAGAAGAACCACAAGGAGCACAGTTTTCTGGTGATCAGTTTGCTGTGGGACATAGCGAGAACCAATTCAAGGTTGTTGGTGGCATTTATGGAGTAGCTGGAAATGGTGGAGTGCCACTTCTGGGACCGAGAAATGAGCACTAACCGGAGGGATCCCATCGTAATGCAGGTTTGGGATGACAAGCAGTGACTGCAGAACTTTCAGATGCATAAGGCCACGTTCCTTGGATCTGTGTGCTGAACTTGCCATAGTCATCTAATACAGGGACCCCAAACTGAGACCTACGCTAACAGTGGAGAAGCAAGTGACAATCACACTGTGGAAATTTGTTATGTCAGATTACTACCAGTCAGTGGGAATTCATTTTGGAGTGGGAAAATCCACTGTGGGGGCCATTACCATGCAAGTGTACAGGACCATTAATAGTCTTCTGCTACGCAGAACTGAGACTCTCAGCAATGTGCAGAACATAGTGGATGGCTTTGCAGCTGTGCGGTTCCCAAGCTGAGGTGGAGCAATAGATGTGACGCACATCCTTATTTTGGCTCCAGAGCACCTTGCTACAGAGTACATCAACAGGGCTATTTTTACATGGTTATGCAAGCTCTGATGGATCACCGGTGATGCTTCACTGGTTGGTCAGGAAAGGTGCATGCTGCTTGCATATTTAAGGACACAGTACTCTTCAGAAAGCTACAAGAAGGAGCCTTCTTTTCTGACCATGGATTACCATTGGCGATGTTGAAATGCTAATAGGGATCCTGCCTACCCTGTCTCTTGAACCTGTACCCGAGCCATCTTGATAGAACCAAGGAAAGATTCAAATACAGGCTCAGCTGACACAAATGACAGTTGAATGTGCTTTTGGTAGATTGAAAGGATGCTGGTGGTGTTTACTCACCAGATTGGATCTCAGTGCAAAAAATATCTCAATGGTTATAGCTGCCTGTTGTGTCCTGCATAATATTTGTGAAACAAAGGGGGAAACTTTGCTGTGGGTGTGAAGGTAGAATGGCTGTCTGCTGAGTTTGAACAGCTATCAGATGAGCTGTGTGCCTTAGAGAGGCTTTGAAAAAGCAGTGAGCCCCAGGAATGTGCTGTAGTGTACTGTGCTCAACCTGGTGTCGCAGTTTGGGTCTTGTTTCAGAATTGTCGTGCTTGCTGCATATCTGTGCATATATCACTTGACAGTGCAAGCTGGGATGCTTCCTGTACAGTTATGACTACACTGTTTGGCACTGATCCTATTGGTTGTGAGTATACCAGACCACTACTTTCACTGCCAGCAGGCATTATACACCATGTGTTGTAAACTAATAAAGATGAATAACTTTCAAAACAAAACTTTCACTTATGAAAACAGCTCAAAAAAAAAAAACACTTAAGTTCTTCAGCTTTAACTTAAAAAAATTTAGGAACCTTAGTAAAGAAGAGGAAGGAACATTGATGTCCTTTGTAGCTACACATACATCAGCCGAGGCTCTCACAGATCAGTGTAAGTGAAGCTGTGGTTGTCCAGGCCTTTCCCTGGTTTACATGGGTAGGAGTAGGTGTGCAGGCCATGAGGAAAGCTGAGGGAGGTATAGGGAGGCGCTGTGCTTCAGTTCTCCACAGAGGGCAAAGGGCGTTGAGCCCTGGATTGTTGAACCTGGAGATCCACAAGAGTCTGCAGCATCTGAGTTGGCTGCCTTTCCTGGTGCATCTCCCTCTCCTTTTCCTGCGTCTTTCTCCTGTTGCACTTTCCTTCTCCTTTCGGTCTGCAATATTCACCCTCCAGGTCCTCTGTTCAAGGTCTGATGCAGCACTGGCTTGCAGGATCTCACAGAACATGTCCTTCCGCGTCCTCTTTTTTTCTTCTTCCTTATATGGGTCAGTCATTCCGCTGGTGTGCAGGGGGAATCCCTCAAGGCTGCATCAGCCTCAGCTACAGATAAAACACACAGAGGTACTATTGTCAGTATAGTAGGAATGGAAAGCGAAATTTAAGATTCAGAACTTCCTGTCCACCCCCTTTCTGTTGCTCTCCTGAAGTGTTTGTGTTTATTGACACTTCTGCTTTGGAGTGCTTGTGCCCACTGCCACTCTCAGCTCAAGCCATTGTGAGTATGACCTGCCAGGGGTGAGGAAAACAAGGAGGGAGTTGCTCGGTTGCATGAAACTGAGTATAGTGCACTGGCACTGAATAACGGCACCATTTTCCACAGGAGGTGGTGATTTTTAGCTGATATCTCACTCCTTAAGGTAACAAATGCAGAGAAAGCACAGCTGCTGTAGCATCCCGAAGTCACCTGGAACCATATGCCACTATCCTGTTTACAGCAATGGTGCCTGCCAAAGTAATCACTGTCAAGGTTCCTTCCCCACTCTGAACTCTAGGGTACAGATGTGGGGACCTGCATGAAAAAACCCCTAAGCTTATTTTTACCAGCTTAGGTTAAAACTTCCCCAAGGTACAAACTATTTTACTTTTTGCCCTTTGACTTTATTGCTGCCACCACCAAGCATCTAACAAATATATAAGAGGGAAAGAGCCCTCCTGGAAAAGTCTTCCCCCCCAAAATCCTCCCAA